ATTGTCTAGGCATAAAGGATTTCAGTTTATACAGTAAACCTTCATGCCATACTTTATCGAATGCCTTAGCTACGTCTAAAAATATTGTAGAGCAGACTTTCTTTTCCTCTAACGATTTCTCAATTATGTTAGTAATTCTATGTACTTGATCAATAGTAGAGTGTTTATTTCTGAAGCCAAATTGGTGGTTTGGAATCAGTTTTTTCTCTTCTATTATCGGTTTCATTCTTTTTAGCAAGAGTTTCTCGAACAGCTTTGACATCACTGGTAAGAGTGATATTGGCCTGTAAAAAGAGACTTCTGTTGGTGATTTCCCTGGTTTTGGTATCATTATTACCTCAGCTATTTTCCATAAATTTGATACATATCTTAATCTAAAAGCAGCATTAATTAGGTTGGTTACTTTTCCTATGGCATTGCGAGGCAGGATTTTTAGTAATTCTCCAGTAATTAGATCGTATCCTGCGGCTTTCTTCGGATTTATGTTTTCTTTTATTTCATCAGCTACTTGATTATTCTATTCTAGCCTATTCACATGAATACATATAAAATGTAGGGACACGAGGACGGTATACTCTGTGATCTTTGGAGATATTTAGATATAAAACATAAATAAATGTGTTTACCGTCCTCGTACTGTACATATACCTATACACATATATAAACATATAGATCGTCAAAGTAGTAAATAATTATAATTAATATAAGGAATATAATAATATAATGTGTAAAAAATTACCTGAAATTTAATTTATAAAATATATAAGTATTATTACATCATTGATATAAAATTAAAAAAATATATGTTGATTTTCCGGGATTTTCCGAGATTTCCGATTTGGTGAAAATTATGTCATCATTATGAATACTGCGTCAGACTATTCTAGCTAAATTAAAAAAAAAGTAAGTTTTTACGGGAAATTTCAAATACTCGATTTTTCCGAGGTTTCCCATATTTCCCGGCCATTGAAAAATAAACACCGTAGGAAAAGTATATGGCTTGAAGATAAATGCTGGAAAAAACTAAATGCATGGCAATAAGAAAAAACGCACTTTTAAGAATACAACTGCAAGTAGATGGTGCTCCAATCGATCAAGTGGAAACATTTAAATACTTGGGAATGATGATGAATGACCAATGGGATCCTCAACAAGAAATAAAATGCCGTACCGAACAAGCAAGACAAGCTTTTATCAAATTTAAACCGCTACTATGTAACCGCAATCTTTCCTTCAATCTCCGCTACAGGATGGTTAAATGCTATGTATGGTCCATATTGTTATACGGCATGGAAACATGGACGTTAAGAGTACCTTCCATTAATAAGTTGGAGGCCTTCGAAATGTGGACGTTGCGAAGAATGTTCCGCATACCATGGACAGATAGGGTGAGAAACGAGGAAGTCTTAAGAAAGGCAAATACTGGGAGAGAACTACTCAATTTGATCAAGGTACGAAAAATTGGATACCTCGGCCATATTCTGAGAGGAAAAAAATACGCAATCCCTCAACTAATCATCCAGGGAAAGATTGAAGGCAAGAGAGGAGTAGTCGCAAACAAATGTCGTGGCTACGGAACATAAAAAACTGGACAGGCATAAATAACACTGGCGATCTTTTGCATGCCGCAAAAGACAGACGTCTGGCCTTAAGATAATTCGCCAGCGCACTATAGGTGCATGGCACTATAAGAAGAAGAAAAAGTATGTAGTTATTCATATTTCGATGAGCTACCCCAGATTTAAAAAAATGAGGCTTCTAGCTGCAATGGATGCCGAGATATATATATATATATATATATATTATATATATATATATATATATATATATATATATATATATATAACAAGCGAGTCTTCTACAGCTGGCGCCGCTTCTCGCATCCTAATTTCCAGCGTTTTCTGTCGAAGCAATCTTCAGTTGTTAGATCTCTGGCGGTCATTGCATCGTCGACATCGTCTCTCCAGGATCGTCTTGGTCTACCTCGTTTTCTTCTAGTTGGCGGAGTCCATTCTTCTATTTTTTTTGGCCATCTATTTTCCGGCATTCTCTGAAGGTGTCCATACCAGTTAAGTCTTTTGGCTTCGATTGTGTCTATTATGTCTAGATCGATTTCCATTTCTCTCCGAATATCTTCGTTTCTCACCCTATCAAGTCTAGTGAGCTGGCAACATCGTCTCCAGTAGTTCATTTCCATGGCCTTAATTTTTGATTTGTTTCTTTGGTTTATTTCCCAGAGTTCGGCGCCATACAGTCCAATACTTTCTATTATTGTTTTATAAATTCTTCTTTTATTTTCTTTTGTTATTTTTTTATTCCATAATAGTCCGTGTAGCTGTCTGGTGGCTGATCTTGCTTGGCCAATCCTGGAATGTATTTCTTCGCTACTTCCTGCTTTTGATGTTATTTGGACTCCCAAGTACTTAAAATTGTCTGTTGGTTTTATAGTTCCCATTTCGATTTGTAGGCTTTCTGGTTTTTCTCCTACAACTAAGTACTCAGTTTTTTGTATATTAATTGTGAGGCCCCATTTGGTGTACTCATCTTCCAGTTTTCTAAGCATGTAGCTTATATCACTCTCGTCTTCAGCTAGAATGGCTTGGTCGTCAGCGAAATGTATCGTGTACAATCTATCATCTCCGATTGGGATGCCCATATTGCAGCACTTTCTTCTCCACAGTGAGAGTGCCTCATTTAGATATATTTTGAAGAGTGTAGGTGCTATGCAGCAGCCTTGCTTTAGGCCCTTACTAATAGGAATTTCTCTAGTTAATATATTTCCAGTTTTAATGTTTGCCGTCATATTTTTGTAGAGTTGTTGTACTGCTTGTATTTTTTTTGCTTATTCCTTGTTTTTCCATTGCTACCCAAAGCATTGAAAGTGGTACACTATCGTATGCCTTTGTCAGATCTATAAAGACATGCCAACTCATTATAATTCTAAAGGGTACTTCTAGGTCTTGTGATTTAAATATATGCGATTATTTTGTATCTATTTATATAAAAAAGTTTGATTTATTCAACTGAGAAATTGTATAACATAAAAGTATTATGATACCAAAATTTAGGGGATCGTTATTCAAATTCGTTGGCCTTTCTGTGTTTGATTTTGTCTCATCCCGAGTGTCTGACGAAGCAGGGATGCTGAAATGACGTCATAACACTATTGATATGGATACTGATTCAAACAGGGGATGTTGACGAATTAATGTTCTCCTACGCCATATATTTAGCTTTTCAATTCATCAAAGCGATAGTAAGCTTTTGCTGAAAGGTGTAAACGTTTGCATATACACCCTCATAGACATAGACACATACAGGGTATCCAGTAGGTACCTTAATTTTATAAATTATCTTTAGTTTCAACAAATCTTTTTATTTATAAAGTTTATTTAAGGTTTTTAAAAACAAAGTATTAGTTACGACGGCACGAATATAACAAAAGAAAAGTATCAAAGGTAGATAGTTAAAAAAATGCTCGATGGGATGACCATTAGTCTCTATGTATCAATTTACCCTTTCAATTCACTCACTTTCAATCAATGCACTCAAATAAAGTGCATTAAAACCTAAGTTCCTATGATTTTTTAAATTCCACAAATAAAATCTACTCTGTATTTTTTTGAAATTAAAGGGTTCAATTCTCACTTTCGTTAATGTCCCCACCTTGTTCATATAAGCTTTGAAATAAGAAAACAGCATTTTAATATATTACATCTAAATAAATAATTACAGAAAATTATAAAATGGCTGACATTATTTCTTAGTTTTATCATTCTCTATAAAAAATAATTTATTTTATAGTTTAAAATTAGATTTTTATAGGTGTCCTCATCATTCATTATCACTTTCGTTAATAGAATTATTATTTGACATAAATTTAGTTAGTCGGCGCTGATAGTGTGACATTAAAAGTGTTTTGACAATTCTTGTTTAATTTAATAAAATCGTTGAGAGAGGTATGTTGTTCTGTGAAATTTAACAAATATTAAGAGCAAAACGGTGTTAAGACCCACAAACGGTAAGCATAATGTTTCACTTTTGTTAATAAGTATATTTTACGAAAAAATTTTAATCAATAATGTTTGCAAACGGTATATGCTAGGAAATTAAGCAAAGTAGTTATTTTTAAAATGGCGTCACCATCCAAACAATTTACCCGGGTTTTGACGGGAAATTTATAATAAAACCTCACTTAAGTTAATCTCACTTGCGTTAATTTATGTGTTAACGAAAGTGAGAAAAAGTTAACATAAATGAAGTTTGATTAAATTTTTATAAAATGTTCTTATTTTGTACTTAAATCTTGATAACATATTTTCTAAAAAATAAACATACATTTTTTTAATTTAAAAGTTTGTGGACATGGCAAAGTCGGCGAAAAACAATGAAAAAAAGAAAAGTATTCTAGGGAAAGATCAAAAAATGCGATGCGAAGTTAAGAGAAAAAATAAAAAATAATCCGGCATTACATGAAGAAGAAAAACGAAAGGCTAGAGAGCGATATAGAGCTAGAAAAGAAGCGGGTAAAGTAAAGAGAATTGATGAATTATCAGAACGAGAGCAAAGAAATATTGGAAAATGTTGGCGAGAAAAAAGTAAAAAATCATACTACGCAAAAAAGAAAGAGAAAAACTTTCGGCTCAGCTTAATGAAATAATCCCATCATTTACTCCAGTTCCTAAGGAATTTGCAGAAGATATTACACCTCAACAAAATCCACAGCCTCAGTCATCACGGCAGTCTTTAAAAGGAAAACAAATAGTACGAAGAAATAGGGAAAGAATGAAAAAAGAAAGAGGCTTTTAAAAGCTAAATTAGAAAGGACATGTAAGAGGGTTTCAAAATACAAAAAAAATGTATTATATATCTATTAAATAATTTAAATCTTAACAAAAATAATAGAATCAATAAACATCATTTAAATTTCATAATTTCAATTACAAAGTTCGTAATATTAAAATAAAAAAAAAATGTAAAATAATATTACCTTTTTTTAGATATGAAAGATTAAAGAAAAAAGGTCCTAACACTCCAACTAAAAATGTTCGGGAAATGCTCATTGGGCAGAAGGTTACTCCAGAAGTAAAACGGAAACTTGTAATTGGAGAAGTGCTTCAGCAGCAGCTAAAGGGAAACTACAAGAGAACATTTAAGGACAAGCAAAGATTTGTTCATTCTATTTCTGGAGATATAGTCAAAAAATATAGGTGTGAAAATTTGGTAAGATCAGTTAGTTCAAGAAGAATCGTAAAAAATAAAAATTCTGGGCAAGTATTGAAAAGAAGAAGGTTAATGTTTTTAAGATTAAAGGAAGTTATCTCAAGCTTTTTTGAAAAAGATGAAGTAAGTCGGTTATGCCCTGGCAAAAAGGACAGTGTTACTTATAAGAAAATTAAAAAGCAGAAACGGTACCTAAATGATTCCTTAAAAAATCTTTTTATTCTATTTAAGGCAAAGCATCCTGAAGTTAAAGTGAGCTATTCTAGAGTTTGTAGGTTTCGCCCTTTTTTGTGTTGTTTCCCACAGAGAAAACATGTCTTTGTATAATTCATGAGAATTTCACTTTACTTGTAAGTAAATTGGACGTAGTTAAGCAGAAAACGTCCAACCCAAAAAAAGTGATTGTTGGGAAATTGAGTTTAAAAGATTTTAGTGTGCCCTAGCTAAACTATGCATAATTTATTCGCCTGGCAATGATTTTAAGATAATGATATTCATCTCGTAGGCACCTCGTTTGTAATTTCTTTTAAATGTAAGTTTCAATGAAGTTATTTTGAAAATTTTAGGTTGGACGTTTTTAACAAAAAACAAAAATCCGAAAAAAATTTCGATAAAACATACTTATGTGGGTTGGAATCTTTCAGATAAATAAATAATGTCATATTTTTATAAAAATTTTAATGATCCAAAGAAACAAAATTACAATGATTTTCTTATGTAAATGTAAATTTAAAAAAAGTTTTAATTATTGTGGGTATCTACCTCAAAATCTAGAACTGGAACATTAAATCCATCAACGTCTTCGACTACATTAGCACTTGTAAAATTTTCATAAAACGGTTTAGCGTCTGAAGGAATTAGATGTAAATAGCTTTTAATATCGTTAATTTTATCCTCTGACAGGGGTTTACCATTGGGCCAGAGTTGCATAAGCAGCGCCGAAAAGCTCTCTGTATTTAATCGTCCTCGTCGCTCAATATCCAAACATACACTTTCATCGCCAAAATAACTAGGTTTCATAAAGATGTGGTAAGGATTTTCTTTTGTTAATATAATTTGTTTTGTCTCCAACCAATTTATTTTTTCTTTATTGGTGCCAACTTTTCTGTTTATTGTGGCCTTCTCGAGCTGGTGGGTACTCAAAAACCATTCCTTTTTCATTTGTGCAGCTGTTATTGGAGACTTTTTACGACATGAATTTATTATATTTATATAGTCTAAAGGTGTATATATTCGTTCTTGACGTTTGAGTTGACATTCTATATCCCCAAAATCTTTATCATTTGGTAGAAAACTATGGCCGGAAATCAGGAATTTAAATGTTATAGTTTTTATATTATGGCTGGTTTGAAGAAGACTGGCCATGAGGAGTGTTATTTTAATATTACGGTTCTGGCCTCCACAAGAATCAGACCACAATATAAGATGTTCAACAGTACTTTCTATGTTTTCTAAATATTTTACAATACAGGAACCAACCTCCTGAGCTCCTCTTCCAGCAGTTCCTTCAAGCCATACATAGGAATAACTCTTATTACGTTTGCCTGAAAATACACCGAGATTATACAAGCAAACTTGCCTCTTATAATATATTACATTGGTTGGAATTTTGGGTAAAGGTAGAGTTTTTTGAAGATCGTATGTTAAACACTCTACATTATCCTCATCTTTAGCTCGTTTTAAATCTGCCTTTAATGTTTCTCGTGATTTTTGGGCCAAATCCTGATGAGTGTCGAGTTCAATTTGTAAAAGTTGCTTTTTATGATCATCCGTTTCATTTTGTAGTTTTATTTTAAATGAATCACATACCTGGCATGTGTCCTTCTTGGGAACATTAAATCTCAAATTAAATTTTTCGTAAAAAATCCTCTTATAAATACCAAATTTCACAGGGTTTTGAACTTCAGATTTGTATAGATCATAAATCTTTAATAATGAGAGATGTGCCGGTAAAAATAATGCAGACGTGTTTTCACGACAGTAGTGCGATATGTACTTAGGCAGTTTATTGATCTGGTTGATTATTTCCTGAATTTTATTTTCAGGGACTTTGTTTAAACCACCTTGTTTTCTACCTCTTTGATCAAGAATTGGAGCACGATTGTTTACCTTTCTCAGAGCTGTTGTTACTCTTGACGGAGTTATTCTAAGACTATTGATAAACATTTGCCTATAAGTAAGGAATATTGTCTGGAATACAGACGTCTTTCAGTGTTTCTTCCATACATTCTTTTTTTCGGCATTTCGTGGATATTATTGGCAATAAAGATAGTTTGGGCATTATAAGACCCAAGACTCCAAAAACGATCAAATTCTTGTTTTCGTGACTCTGTAGAAATCAACTCAGAACATTTCATCGGGCAGTTACAATTGTAGTCATATTGAAATTCTTTAGCAGCTTTCAATTTTCCTTTGTAGTCAATGTAAGATTCATTTTTGTTCCTATTAATCTTTGATGTTGCTCGCGTCATTGCAAATTTCTTTTTTCTACCCTTCTTTGGACGACCTGATGTACTGGCTAAAAATGGATTATCATCACAACTTTCATTGTTATCGGAACTCTCTTCATGTGACGATGGTATAAACATATCAGAGGAACCGCTACTAAAGACATCACTTATTGACATATTCTGTAAGAATAAAAAGGTAGGTATTATTAGATAATATTTTAAATAAAAATTTCAAAAAATTATAGAAAGCGTCTATTTTAATTAAAGAAGTTAACTTTTAATCAATTACCAGGTACCAAAAAATAAAACAAATTCAATTCATTCAAATTAATCTTTTTCATAAAGTTTACTATAGGTACTCATCGAAAAATAATTTTCATATGCTTTACATTATTGTATAATTACTTTAATCAATAATAATTGATGATCATAATAATAGGTATCAATTTAACATTGGTATAATAAGATTAATACATATGTGTTTACAAAATTGTGTGTACCTAAGGAAGTTGTATTTTTTCTTTTAGATTGTAACAATAGGTACATCAAAGTTTAGTTTTCATTAAATAGAAATAATATAGCGAATAGCATTATAAAGCATTTTACTAAACAGTATAGGTACAAAGATTTAATACTTACATCATAATCATCAACAGAATCTATGGTAGAAGCTGATTCAAAACATCCAGTTTTCTCGTTTAAAACCATTTCACGAATACGACTATTGGATGACGATGGTTCGCTGTGACGGTAGAATTCTGTCACATTGGTATCATCCATATTCTACAATATATTTAAATTATGTAATGATGTATAAAATGCATTTATTTTAAAAATTTAGTAAACAACATAAACTTTTAGAAGCCGTGTCTTATAAACTGATTATTTTTTCGTGATTTTCGGCCAGATTAAAGAAATACCACAAAACTCTATTTTCTTCTATTTTCTTTATTTTTTTTTTAAGATTTAGTAACAAAATAAATTGAAACGTCGTAAAAAAAAAAGAGAGTTTTGTGTTATTTCTTCAATCTGGCCGAAAACCACGAAAAAATAATCAGTAAACAACATATAGTTATTTTTTAATAAAAAATTTCCGACTTACCTCAACATTGGTAATATTTGAATCAAATTCCACGCTAGACATTACACTATTTGTTTGGTTTTCCATAAGTTTTGCTAGCTCACACATGTATTTGCTTCTTTTCGACATAATTATTATTAAATAAGTATTTTTAAACCCGAACAGTCAGAAAAATCAGACACAACTGAATAAAAAGAAATGTTTATCAATACATAGGCACATTTACTTAAAACTAAAGGAAAGTGATTACTATGCTTAAGATGAGTACCTATAATAAATTAATTTTTATCGACCAAGTTCCAGGGTTTATACGCACAAGGCACGTTTTAAACATTAATAGGGCACATTCCCGTAATAAAATTTTATTATCGACCGAAATTGAAGATTCAAACTACTTTTAACATATTAATGAAATAGTAAACGTAAAATGATACCAAGTGGTTTGGACGATTTCTGATTATACTCTTATTTTTAACAAGTATACCGAAATTTATAAGTAGAAAACATCCAATTCACTTGGATGTTTTTAACACAAAAAAATGCACAGTAGTTTTGTTATCGCATGGAGCGTTAAAGTGATCCAACCCACTTAGCCTGTTTTAACCACTCTTTTAACACGATTACTTAGATCGACATACATTTTTTAGAAAAAATTCAACCCACTTGGATTTTTTATTATCAATGAAAATCTCAGTTAACCTAGTTTGTGGGTTAGAACTTTGACGATTATTAAAAGAGTATGTAATGTTTTCACTTGGACGGTTTCTGCATATTATAAAGCAAGAAATTATATGCTCGCTGGTGTAAAGAACTCATTTTTAACAATTTGTGGGTTGGACGTTTTCTGCTTAACTACGTCCAATTAAAGTCATTGCATATCATAAATGCTGCTGATTCGACAGAAGTAGTGAAGGAAATATGTTGTGATGTTAACAATGAAGAATGTTTAGGGCGTTTATGTTTAACATGTCATAAAGAAATACAGTTCTTCAATGTTGACGATAGCATAATAATGTATAAAAAAATGGCTTTCAAAAAAAGTTGAAATTATTGTTAAGGGTGGGAAAAAAATGTGTCAAAAGACAATACAGGAAGAAGTTGAGAGCACAAAAGAAAATATTGTAAGCATCTTTACAGAAAAACTGCCGTATTTTTTAAAGCACTTACTTAACATTAAACACAAATATAAATGTATCGACACATTAAGAATAGCCTAAAGGAAAATGATGTTCTTATACACCTGGACTTCTCTGAAAATTATATATGTAAATATGGACGAGAAATCCAATCTGCTCATTTTGGTGGTTCCAAACCACAGATAAGTTTGCACACTGTAATGGTTTATACCCAAAACAAAAAAAGTCCAATGTGTACATTTTCCGAGAATCTTCGTCACGATCCTTTTGCTATATGTGCCCATTTGACACCCATTGCAAAATATGTAAAAACCCTAATTTCCAGTATATCTATGGTACATTTCTTGAGTGATGCACCATCCACACAATATAACAATAAAACTGTTTTTTTTTTTAATAGTGGCATATATTTCGAAGCTTTTTACCTGTCAAGCTATAAGATGGCATTATAGTGAGTCTGGACATGGCAAAGGAGCACCAGATGGTATTGGGGGATGTTTGAAAAGGACAGCAGATAGTTTATTGGCCCAAGGAAAAGATTTAGACAACTTTAATAGTTTAATTAAAGAACTTAGAGAAAATTGTAAGGGGATTTTATGTCATA